GCCCCCGCCGCCGCCGCCACCGCCGCCGAGCCGCCCTGCGCCTTCGCCTTTGCTGCCCCCGGGCCGGGACCCGCACCGCCGCCGCCGCTGCCCGCCTTCTGCGAGGCGCCCGGCGCGGAGCCCGCCTGCTGCCCGCTGGCCTTCAGGGTGGACCCGTTCACCGACTATGGCTCCTCGCTCACCGTCACGCTGCCCCCTGAGCTGCAGGCGCACCAGCCCTTCCAGGTCATCCTGCGCTACACCTCGACCGACGCCCCCGCCGTGAGTCCTGCTGCCGGGCGAGGGGGGCGTTCTTGGGGGCGCTGCGCCTGCGACACCTGCGGAGGGTGGCCAGCCCGGCTCTCCTCGAGTCGGCCGCGGAGTCCTGTCCAGGCGCCGGCGGGGCTTCCCAGCTGGTGCCAGGGGAGCCCTTAGGAGTCCTGGACCGAGTGAGCCGCCGGGTGCTGGTCCCGGGTCCCAGGGACAGGGTCCTGCGTGCCACCAGGGAAGCCTCTCCCTTCAGCTGTGCAGGGACGGGTCCCTGCCTGGGGACAGGGGCAGCTTCTGGTGAGCGCATGCCAAGCCATGCATCTGCCAGAGCCTGGCACTGCGACCAAGGGCCTCCGTGCGGCCCGGGCTTCAGAGGACTGTTCCCTGGGGGTGGCAAGAGAGACAGACTTGCCAGCGTGGGAGGCCGAGAGGCCTGGATCGGCTCTGATGCTTCAGGCCGCCTGGGGGCTGGCGCAGCTTCTGGTGAGCGCATGCCAAGCCATGCATCTGCCAGAGCCTGGCACTGCGACCAAGGGCCTCCGTGCGACCCGGGCTTCAGAGGACTGTTCCCTGAGGGTGGCAAGAGAGACAGACTTGCCAGCGTGGGAGGCCGAGAGGCCTGGATCGGCTCTGATGCTTCAGGCCGCCTGGGGGCTGGCGGGCACTCCAGCAGGTTGGCCCCACGTCCCCAACACAGACACACACAGGCTCTGAGGGGCTTTGGACACGGAGCGCCCGCTGTCCAGGGGCTGGGCAGGAAGCCTCGGCAGCTCAGACAGCACCCTTCCACCACAGGGGGGCGTTCAGGATGGAGCATGGGCGTTCCTGGGTCCCTGTGTGGACAGCACATTTGTAACTGTGACCCACAACACACAACATTCAGGTAGCTCTGGGAGGCCCCAGGAGGTTCCATCCGTCACCGCCGTGGCATGTGAATAGACAGGGTGACGGAAAGGCATCAGGCCAGGAGCCATCAAGGAGAAATCAGGAAGAGCCTAGGCCAGACACACACCTGCAGGCTTTCTGCACAACTCCCAGGAGCCCCCAGCTGCCACCTCACCCCNCTGCCTGCCGGCCTGGTCCTGCCCTGCCCGCCTGGCCCCTGCCCTGCTGGTCTGGCCTCTGTCCTGCCCGCCTGGCCCCTGCTGCCTGCCGGCCTGGTCCTGCCCTGCCCGCCTGGCCCCTGCCCTGCTGGTCTGGCCTCTGTCCTGCCCGCCTGGCCCTTGCTGCCTGCCGGCCTGGTCCTGCCCTACCCGCCTGGCCCTTGCTGCCTGCCGGCCTGGCCCCTGCCCTGCCAGTCAGGCCCCTGCTGCCTGCCAGGGGCCTTCTGGGGCTCTGACAGCTGGCGCACATGGCTCCCACCACAGCCGTGAAAACAGAGGATATGGTTCTCCCTGACCTTGGAGCCCACGTGTCTGGTCCACCTAAGACCAGCAGAGTGGTCGGAGAGTGGTGGGACCAGGGCCCACAACAGGCCACCCTGCTGGCCTGACCCTGTCCCCAGCAGCCCAACCACGGGGACCTGTCCCCAGCATGAGCCAGGGACAGCTTGTCCCAGGACCTGGGGTGGGGGTGGGGGGTGAAATGCAGGTTCCTAGGTCCCACTCCTAGGTGGCCAGACCCAGGAGCTTGCATTTTTGAACAGTCTCCCCAGAGAGGCTTTCTGAACATCTGGGTCAGCCCTAGGGGTCAGCAGAAAAGGAAGATACCACCGCAGGCTCTGCACGGGCAGAGAACAGAGACATAGAAGTCAAAAAGAAGTTTTGTAGAAGTCCATGAAGGCTGACAGTGGCCTGGCTGATCTGCAGGAACTGGATAGGCAGCCCTGCAGGCCTGGAGGACATCCGCTAGGATCTGGGGTCCCCACCTCTGGGGTCTCTGCATTGACAGCCCCCAGCGGCGGTCCTGGGTCTGGGGTCCCCAACCCCTGGGGTCTCGGCATGGACAGCCCCCAGTGGCGGTCCGCCTGGGGTCCCCCACCTGTGGGGTCTCGCACAGACAGTCCCCAGTGGCGGTTCTGGTCTGGGGTTCCCCACCTCTGGGGTCTCGGCACATATAGCCCCAAGCGGTGGTCCAGGGTCTGGGGTCCCCCACCCCTGGGGTCTAGGCACGGACAGCCCCCAGCGGTGGTCCTGGTCTGGGGCCCCCAGTGGCAAGCAGCTGTGGCTGCTGTCCTGGGGCCTGTTGCTTGCAGGGGGCTGGGGGCCCTCCATCACGGCCCTGGGGGGACCTGTGTGCACTTGGTCACTGAAGACCCGTCCAGTTGGCCTCAGTGACCACGTTGTCCCGGCAGAGGGGACGTGGGAGACAGATTCGGGACCCCACAGAGTGGGTGCAGTTGGGTTGGGCAGACCCCCGGCCAGACGCCCTT